TTTATGTAAAGATCTAATTTATAATAAATCTTCTTTTCTCTCCTTTTTTAAGAGGATTCAGCAAAAAATGTATTGCTATTTACCTATTGCATCATATCAATTTTTGTGATATAATGATTCATTTTTGATCCATTATAATTAGAAAATAAAACTTAAATAAATTTAGATCTACTGATATAGATTACTATTTATTTATCGTACTATTCCTATATTCAAAAGGTGAAATACTTATCATAAATTGAATCATTTATATTTCCAAGTGACTTTTGAAATGATTGTTCGCTACGATTCGTCAAGAATCAATTTTGGCTAATTACATATAGTATTATAAAATGTTCGTTATAAGATATTCTACGCAGTCGTTTACGAAAAACGTCTTGTCTCAAACGGTCTGTCGTAACCATTAGAAATCTTATATCTCATAAAGAATTAACTGATATACATTTATAATCGTTATTATATTATCGCTATAGTATTTTATATTAATTCTTTTTGTAAGCAATTATATGTCGATTTTAAAGCAAATAAAAGAATAGTCGATCATAAAAGCTTTCGTATTTATAACCATCTATTATTATTCATATAGTTTATTTCTTCGAATCAAATTTATTTTATTTCACAAATACATTATTTTCTTTAACGAGTTTCTTAACTTTTATATTCAAATATATCTTTTTCTTCTCTTTGGCTATTTTTATTTTGCTAAAAAATCTTTTAAAAGATTTTGAAAAATTCAAAGATTTAAATGTCTTAAAAGATTTCAAATGTGTCCTTTATCCTAATCCTAAATCTTGGTGCGTTGAGTATCAGGCTTGCATTTACCATTTTCAATGATTGTTTTTACACCGGAAAACATAATATAAAAAGATTTAGTAATATTTTTGAAATTTGATTTGCAAAATTTTTTTATATACGATTTTTTTTAGAATAAATAAATATGTATATAATTTTAAATTTTGATCAGCCGCGAAATAACTACATTGCTCGTTGTATAATTTTCCGCAAGAGGTCACTTATGCGCCATTGTAGCTCGATCCAGCAATGAAAGTTGATTTTGCTACAAGATGGCGTGCAAATATAGATATATTTTGTTTTTAGTTTGAAGAGTTGTGTCACGTATCGTTTATCTATTATCAAATTTTACAATCTTATCTTAATCTAAAACAATAAATTATATGATAAAAAGAATTTAAAAAATTATATTTTAGTAATTTTTTTTTTCATTTTTTGATTTATCAAAATGAAAAATATATATATAAATGGAAATGAACGATAACCTAAAATTTTGCAAACAATTCCAAAGAATTTATATACAAAATGCTTCAGACATTACGTGAACGTTCGCAAAAACGCAAGAAATTACTTGCTCAAACGGTGAGAATAATTCCAACCTGATTTTGTGTTGTTGAGGTTATGATCATTCAAATCAAAAGAGTTTATAAAAAATATGAATTTATTTCTTCTACTTAGCTAGGTGTTTCGAGTGTGGACGAATTACGACAAATTCTCGGAACGGATATCAATGATACGCAGAAGAAAAAATTAAAATCGGTGGCAGAAAAATCGGAAAATGGAGTAAAAGATTCGAAAAGCGAGGTGGTTACGACCGATGAAATCGTTTACAAAGACTCGTCGACGTTTTTAAAGGTAGGCAAATCTGTCTTTATATTGAAAGAGATCGAATTACAATCGAAAGTATTTATATATTATTATTTAAGGGAACACAATCATCAAATCCGCATAATGATTATTGTCAACATTTCATCGACACGGGTCAACGACCGCAGAATTTTATCAGGGATGTGGGTTTGGCGGATAGATTCGAAGAATATCCGAAATTACGGGAATTAATTAAGTTAAAGGACGATTTAATCGCGGAAACTGCAACACCACCCATGTATCTTAAAACTGATTTGCTCTCGTACAATTTGAAAGAATTGAATTGCAAATTTGATGTAATTTTAATTGAGCCTCCGTTGGAAGAATATCAACGCACCTGTGGCGCTACAAACGTACAACTTTGGAATTGGGACCAGGTTAATAAAGATCGTAATTTATACAGATATCGCGAAATAATTCTGCCCTTTTTAATTAAAATTCAAACACATTTTTATTTTTTAAGATATATTTGAAATTTCCTTTTGCTTTTTAAGTAAAATCAGAAAATTTATACAAACTTTATAGAAATCTAGAATTAATTTAATACTGCTATCAATTCTAATATTAATACAAAAATGGTAAAGCTTCAAATTTTGTCGAATATTTCAGATATTTCGGAATTCTAGGATATTTTAATTAATTGTTATTTAATAAAGGCAGAATTCTGTAAATATTCGTAGTGCTTGTATTAAAAACAATCGACATTTGTAGATAATGGAATTAGATATCGGCGAAGTAGCGGCTAATCGAAGTTTCGTATTTCTCTGGTGCGGCAGTAGCGATGGATTAGACATGGGACGCTTTTGTCTTCGAAAATGGGGTTTCAGACGATGCGAAGATATATGCTGGATTCGAACCAATATCAATAATCCAGGACACAGTAAAAATCTGGACAGTAAAGCCGTTCTTCAAAGAACCAAAGAACATTGTCTGATGGGTATCAAGGGAACTGTTAGACGATCCACAGATGGAGATTTCATTCATGCCAATGTCGATATCGATCTGATTATTTCAGAGGAACCCGAATATGGTTCTATAGAAAAGCCTGTCGAGATTTTTCATATAATAGAACACTTTTGTCTTGGTAGACGACGGTGAGAAGATTGAAATATACATTAAAATATATATATATATATTCATGATAAAAAGCAATATATTAAAATTTGTTAATCAATAAATTTTTCACGTTTTATATAGATTGCACTTGTTCGGTCGAGACACCACTATTCGACCAGGATGGCTTACTGTTGGACCCGAGCTAACTAACACGAATTTTAACGCAGATCTTTATAGTAGTTATTTTGCCAATGGACAAATCACCACTGGTTGTACCGAACGTATCGAAGCTCTCAGACCAAAGTCACCACCACCTAAGGGAAAAGTTGCAGGTCGAGGTAGAGGCGGTTTTAATCGAGGACGAGGCAGAGGAAGGTAAAACAACGCGGCCGCGCTGATACTCGTGTTTCAACTCCTTTCTTCAAATAATAATCATCTGTATACATCAAACATTACCATATATTGGCAATCCGATATTTTTTTCGTTAAAAAATTCGGAGAAAACTACATCAAGAGAACTTGTACTTTTGTAATCTACGATATTCTTTCTTATATATTGTGATATCTTATAATTTGTTTTGAATAGATCGCGTTACTGAATATTCCAATTCTTTCCAATTATGTGTAAATATGTATAGTTACACAACATATCGAACATTATCGAAATTAAACTCGCACTCTTTTTTTTTTTTTCATTTCAATTTGGATAATATTTGGAATATTTTGTGACGCGGATACAATATATTTGAAATAAAGTTCAGTCGAATCGATAATCAAGAATATTAATTCAATTTTTACGTCTATTTGCGCGTATAGATCGCTTAAGAATACATCGATCGATTACCTTTTTCGCAAATGTTAGAAAAGAGCGACGAAACAACGGCACAATTTGTCGCAAACACTTATTAATTTCGACTAATTACTTAACAACGACAATATAAAATATCTTAAGTATACGCATTCTTAAAAAGCAAACGCGGTTATTTCGAAACGGTTTGAGATCCGGTCGTGTTACTTTGTACTTTGTGTCTTGAAAATATTAAAATTTCTATAAATACAACTTATATACGATAGCTACATTTACAGCTTTTATATGATCCGCGGAAACTTACGAACAAATTTCTTGGCCCCAGTAAAGCTTCGAGTAGTATAGAATACGTTCAATGGATGGTTCGCGAATCATCTTTTATATTTCATCTTTCTTCATATCTAAAACTATACACACTCACTTTAAACGAAACGAAGAGGAACCGATCATGCTTGACGATCAATCTACGAAGCTTTCAAGTTATACGTAGATTTTATACATGTTATCGAACAACGTTGACACATCCTTGAAAATTTCGTGAAGCATATTATCGCACGTTAATTCGTATAATTCGCAAACGTATATTCGGTGAATATAATAAAAAAGAAAATCAAATTATCTTGTCAAATTATCAATAATAAATAATACAAAATATTTGAAATACTAATATGACGTTATGATAAACTTTCGAAGACCGAATATATTCTTATCTATTTTTACAAATATATGAAAATTAATCGATAAACCGGTTATTGATTCTGATCATTGAAATTTGATGGAAAAAAAAAAAAAGAAAGACTGCGGGATAATAATAAACTTATCGTTCGAATAAAATTACCAAAAGAAGAAAATAACACGCTACTTAAAGACAATCGTTATTAATATGAATAAAAATATGAATGACAATATCGAAAATATATCGTCAACATATATGATATAAAATATATATATTTCGTTCGAATTAATAACTAGAAACGAATATTTATAAATTAAAATCAATCAATAATACAGCATCGGTCGTTGAAAGCATAAATTGCAAAATGAAATCATTAAATCGTCATTAAAAATCGAATCACTCATTTCTTTTTATACAATTTTTCATAAATCTCAATTCACCGGAGATGATTACTTTTTTTCTATCTTTTCTAAAGATCATAAACGTTCAATATACGTTATTAAAGAAACATCTTATGAGTGATAAAATCATAAGCAAAAAAAAGAGAGAGAGAGAGAGAGAGAGAGAAGAGAGAGAATGAAAAAAAAATCGCAAAAAGTAGGAAATTCTAACAGCAATTAAGAATATGGATATGTAACGTGTAGCAATGAACTGGCAGGCACAGGCGAAACTCGTTGATTATATACTGATCGATTCATTTATGAGCAAATGATGAATTGTAGTCGGATGGACCGTTTTTGAGTGAAGTTTAGCTCTGATCTGTCTCCATCGCATTGGTTTACAGTTTCAAAGTCACAAATAGGTCGACTCCCCTGCAAGCAGAGTCAAGGTAAGTTTCGTGAAAACTTGATGTTATGCATATATAATTATATTAAAGAGAATACAAACTCAAACTCGCGTCGAATATGAAATATGCGTACCTGTGTAAAAAAATGTTAATTTCTGTGAATGCGATTGGCAAGGTTCTCGATTTTCCCCATTTCCTATTGTATGCATGGTGTCTCCTAGCGTATTTCATAGGAACAAACAAAAATCATCGTTAAAAATAATAAACTCGCGTTTTCGTGTGAAATTCAAAAAAGAAAAAGAAGAAAGAAAAATAAAAAAGATATGAAAAAAAAAAAAAATAAGGAGACGAACAGGGGGAAGAGAAGAATTCCTTCTCCGTATTCGATATTTAAAAAAAAAAAAAAAAAAAAAAAAAAAAAGGGGGGGAAGAGGGGGGGGAAAAGAATTCCCTCTCCCTTTTTTATATTTAAAAAAAAAAAAAAAAAAAAAAAGAAAAAAGGGGAAAAAAAAAAAATTTTCCCCCTTTTTTATATTTAAAAAAAAAAAAAAAAAAAAAAAGAAAAAAGGGGAAAAAAAAAAAATTTTCCCCCTTTTTTATATTTAAAAAAAAAAAAAAAAAAAAAAAAGAAAAGAAAAGAAGATAATTGGAGGATACGAAACTTGGAGAGTTGTATTTGTATACAATATCACAAAAAAAAATAATGCATCTTATTTATATTTTGAACATTCCGCATGAATCATATAAAAGTTAATTTTAAGAGATGGTCACTTATAAAACGATATTCCATGAGCTTCGTATGAGAAAAAATATGTCCGAGAAGCGTGTACGTTACAAGAAGTAACGATATGGTACATACGTATGCCACAATTATCGATACGTAAAAACGTATTTAGTAAGTTTACCTTCTTTCCTTAGTTTTAGAGGGTAAAAAACTGAGGTATCGCAACGATTGCTAGCGAGTCAACGTTTTAGTTCGGTGAACTATAGGTGCGATTAAAATAGCTCGAGCGAGGTAAATTTACTAATTCGTTCGAGATAATCCAAAACTCGCTACCCGATAACGCGAATATGTATACTTACATATATTTCGTTCGCTTTCGCGCTTTTTTCCATCACTGCACGCAAGCACACATACACACACACATACGCGCACATTCTCTCTCTCTCTCTCTCTCTCTCTC